CCTCCCTCGCGTACTCCACACGCACGCACGCATACATATGAAATCTGTTTGACTGGTTTGTATGTATTTCATGGGTCGCAGGAATGGAGTCTTTTGCGGAATTTCCATAGCGAGTGGATTTATATAAAAAAGAAAACTTCTACGATAAAAGTTTGATTGTTAAATAATGATACGGTCGTTCTGTAATATAAACATTTTTCCCGCAAGTCTTTTTTATAAATATTATCTTTCTCTTGTTTTTAGTTGAATGAAATCTTACCTTCTGTCGAGATGAAATTCTGAGGTGAAATTCTGCAACTTGTAATAACTGTTTATCTTGCAACAATTTTAATTCTCCGGATAATTATTTTTTTCTTTTTATAACAATTGAACTTATGCGATAGCATAAAGATATATTATATATATATATATTATTATAATTGGATGAAACGTGTAATATATAATAAGATGCGCAATTAAGTCAAATTTATTAAAATTATTTATGATAACGTAAAAATAAAAGTTATGAAATTTGTGCGAAATATCGATAGTTTTACATAAAGTTACTTTATTATTATTTCCTATAAATATAAAAATTTATGTTTCTCCAACAAAAACATTTTGCACGAATTCTCTCAGCTCTGTATAAAATAATTCTAAAAATTCATGGAACCTACATACACTTTTTACTCGCTGTGCATTTTGTTGAAATTGTAATAGAAATGCCAAGTTTACACGAAGGGCAGTATTACGTATATACAAAAACGTTGCTCGAGTCGATTGAGGTCTGTAATCGTAGCGCATGCTTGTTTATCTTCCAAGAAGAGTTTCACCGGCTCGCCAAGAATGAGAATGAAACAAAATCAGAACCGAACGAGATGGAGTGACTTTTAAGATTATTTTGTTACTACATGCGGCAGATGACGAGACTCGAGGTTCGAATCGTTCGCTCTAGGAGATAAGAACAAATCCGGTTATCCGTCCGGTTATCACAGATAAAACGTCGTCCGCAGGTGAAGACGGCCCTGCGAGGCAGCGCTCGATCACGTGATCGAGCATAATCTCGTTCGAACGGCCGCGCGCGAGTTGCTCGCGGAGCGTCAATCGTTCGTACGAAGTGGAATCGCGTGGTCCGTTTACGAGAATTCGACGCGCGATTGTCATCGAGATTGTCCGAGGTTTCAGTGAAGGGTTGAATGGAGTGCGCGCGTGAAAAGTCCCGGTCACGACGATGCGTCTAACAAAGCGAGTGCGGAAATGTGGGAAACGAGATGCCGCGTTTTTCACGAAGCAAGATGGCTACAATCTGCAGGATGAAACTCCGCGCCGTGCTGCGCCGATTGCTTGGACGAGTGCTGATCGACGGCGGCGATTCTTATACCTACCACTTCTGATGGACGTAGAGATTGCTTCGAGAACTTCCTGTCAGTGAGTACGATATATGAAATTGTTAACCTGTACGATTATCAAACGTGCGTGTTATTTTGAAACAATGATGCAATTCAATGCCGCTTTACATTTTCGAATTATGTTTCAAGTCTAATCTATAATGTGCTCTTTGCTTCCTGTTTCTTGCTTTTTACATCTTGCCTTTTTTTCCTCTTTGCGGTTGTTTTATCGTGTTCGTGTCTCTTTTTAAAGTTTGTTGACTTTTATCTTAGACGATGAAAAACGGAGGAATTATACAGGCAAAAAAGTAAGAGGTAAAAATAAATGGTGAGAAGCAAAAAATAAGAAGCAAAGAGCACATTATAGATTAGACTTTAAACATTTCGATCCTTCAGCCACGACGGTGTAAAACCGGTTTTCGAAATTTTTAAAATGAAATGTTGATCGCATCAATTACAATGACGACGTATTTTGGCGTATTCAGAATGTACGATTCCTATTTTAAACTATATAAAACGACGCGATAAACGATATAAAGATATTGTAAACTACTTGCAAAAAATTTGAATTGCTAAATTATTAAAATATTTGCTTGTTTTTTTAATGTCGAGTTGTCAACTAAAATGAGTTTTAAATAATTCATTTTAATTAAAATTTTTATTTTAGTTGATGTTTACCTCTAAAGCATTAAGATGTTATGGCTAGTTCCTTTTCAATTTGACAATTTTAAAGAAATACTAGATATATTTTCGATGCATATCGTAAATGTAATTGCAGCGATAAACTAGGAAATTATGAAGGTGTCGAAAGTACATGCATCTATGTGTTTATGTTGTGTGTGTAGACACTATAAACATTTATTACACCATGTAAGTACAATTGAACACCAAGGGGTTGCTAAATTATTATTATTACTTTTACCATTTATCATTGTTATTTATCATTGTTACATTATTATTGTTATCGTTTATTATCATTGCCTATTAATACATTTATATCAAATATTGTTTGTGACTTCACCCGTTCATAAATAATATAGTTTGTCTCTTTTAAACAAATACATACTCTCTTAAATACATAATTTCTCTCTCTTTCTCTCTCTCTCTCTCTCTCTCTCTCTCTCTCTGTACAATCTATATATACATAATATGCTCACATATGTACTTGTATGCTCTATACGCGCGTATGCATAAATATACGTATGTTTTTCGGAGGCATTAAATCGATAATACAAACAAATAATAAGCGATAATTATGCGGATATATGCATATCGAGGGACTTCATCGCTTTCTTTACTAGCACACGTATGAAACTGCACTATGTCTTTGTGTGCACGAGAAAGCCAGATTCTACATCTCGTTCCGCTTAATTGTTAGATTTTCATTTGTCTAGGACTAAATCGAGACACTCGAACTGGACCTTGCAATTAAAACGAGCGCTGACATGTCCCTGCGCGTGTCTTAGCGCGAGACATTACCGTGTCTTCTGATTAGTCAATAAGTAACACCTCAAAATATATGTAATACATCGTGACGTATACGTCGCGAATTTCAAGATTATTTCACACTATTGAGAATTTTAGCACATATATCAATTATTATTCTACTATCTATTAAATACTCTAAAAATGTTAGCGGCCAAAAAAGATTAATTGCATTTAATCAATTAACGAAACGTTAACGCTGTTTATTGTCATGCAAATTTGCGATAATAATTCAAATACAAGTCGATTCGAATTTTTTTTCGTATTAATTCACTTACATATTAAAATCGAAAAATGCATTATTGTGGTTGAATATTAATTTTCATTTAACATATCATATCAGTGAAGACATTTACATTTTCAAAGTTAAATTTACATTCTCGATTTTTACATAACTATCGACTGATATTGTGTACACAATATTTAGATTCTTTATATATTATATAATTTATAATTGAGATAAACAAAACAGATATTTTTCTAAATAAAACAACACGAAAATTATATTATTATATAAATTAGTTTCTTTATAATATTGTATAATATCTTTTAAAATAAAATATATATTTACTTTTAACTGCTAAAATTCCTTTATTATTAAGTTGAATTTGAATATAAATAATATATATTAAATCAGTCTCAATTTGATAAATAAACGAGTAAAATTGTTAGAGAGAGCGAATATACTTGTGTATATTTTCTATAGCAGCATAGTTTAATATAATTGAGAATATTGGTTGTTTATTGGATACACACACATGTAGGTATATTCGCTACAACTACGTTGCATTTGGCTCGTATTTGTCTATCAAATTGACTCTTATTCAGATTTTTTTTATCAAGCCATTGTCTCTTCCTATTTTTCTTTTAAATCATATTGCACTATTCGTATTCAGTCTTACGATTAGTCAGCTAAATAAAAGCAAAAATTATGAAGACTTAAAAATCAAGTAGGAACTAATATGAAACAATATCTAGTCGATTTGGGTCCCATAAATTAGTTCTTGTTATAACAATTATTCATGTGTCGCGTATCACTGATATACAGGGTGTATACTAAATATGCTAAAAGATTTTAAGGGGTGATTTCTCACACAAATTTAAAACGAAAATTTCTTATGACCGTTTGTCCGAAACGATTTAATTTTGGAGATACAGAACAGTGTCAAAGTGGAATGAAAAATTTCGCACTTAAGTTATTTTGATAAAACTTTAAACATATACAAAGTTTCATCAAAATTAGTCAAGTGGTTTTGAAAATTTTTAGAAAAAATGAAATTTTTCCTTCAACTTTGATAATCTGTATCTTTAAAACTAAGCCGTTTCGGATATATCATCATATGAAGTTTTCGTCTTAAAAATTTGTATAAAGAATCATCCCTTGTAAAATCTTTTATCGTATTTATTGTTAGTATATATCCTGTATATGTAGTCACAAAACTAATTGTCTGGACAATGCAGACAATTATCGATAATTTCTTATATAATAATGCCATTGATAGTAGCATTTATAATTGGACAACTAATTGTGAAACTACCAGTGTCGTAATGCGTGGAACAATTTTTAACCATCAACTTTTAATCAACTTCCAACGGAAAAAGTTTGAAAAAAATCATCAATATAATGGTGGATTGTCCAGATAATTAATTTCATGATTGTACGTATAATATATATACACGTATGTATACATACATATACACACACACACACACACACACACACACACACATATATATATGTATATATATGTATATATATATGTATATATGTATATACACACATACGTATTACATTTAGCTCACATTTAACATTATGTATCATTAAAGTAATTACCATTAACTTTAGCTCTTACACGCTAAGACAATTTAATAAATTTTGTCATGTATCATGTATCTACTCTATCACGAAACATGATAATAGCGAAGAATATCGTACATTAGTATCGGTTATATTAATACGCGCGAAACCGTTTCTACACATTTTTGTATTTAAAGTTTTATTGAAACTTATAAACTATTTCCTAACACACGAGGAATGTGTAGATAATTAAATCCCAAGTTTAGTGTCTGATCTTTAGATATAAATTTTACGATACGAATCGCGAATATATTATCGCCGTATTTAGAGATTATTTCTAATTCATATTATATTTTATATTTTCATACTATATATTCATTAACTTATATAAAATAATATAATATTAATTTTTAAGCGTACGTGCCACACGATTCATATCGCGCGTTGTTATAAACATAAATATTCTTTTTATTAACCTATTTGTGATATCTCAGTTTTAAAAAGCACCTGCTTATAGAAAATGCACTCCGACGGTGAACCCTTTTTTTTTTTACCTCTTGAGCTCTGTGATGATTGATATCAATTGTCAACGATTTGTCATGGCAGTAGAAAATGGCAGCTTATTAAACGAGTTTGAACTCGTTGAAATATTGAGATAAAAATGAGAGCGTCGGTTCACAGGCTGACATCGAGATTCATTAGAAATTTATGTTTTTTTTTTGCAGTAAGCATATAGCTCTGCGCGAAGTGACATTCTCTTAGGCAATAATAAAGCCCCGTTTCACGAAAGAATAAGCGAAAGAAATATCTGTAATAGTAGTAGTAATATGTTCATTCAGTCGCTCGAAGTCGACGGTTTGCTTTCCAGTGTCTGCTCGAAAAGATAAAGTGCTCTATGAATAAATTCATATTGTTCCGCCGTTTGCACCATCCCTCCCCTATCGTATCTAAAATATTAAGAATACTTGTATTTATAAAATCTACAACGTACATAAGATTACAACGTTCGTACGTATTTATTAAAACTTATTGCCTTACCTCATCTGGCACAAAATACCCAATATATCGATATTTCCGTCCCTTATAAGTTGATTCATTCCTATTCCTATCGCTATGAAGCAACCAGTTCGTCCTATACCCGCGCTGCAGTGGACGACCACTGGTTTTGGCGAAGCGTTTACCTCTGCGGCCATACTAACGAGCGCATCTGCAGTTTGAGGTACAGCATGGTCCGGCCATGAATCATACCTGTTGATACATTTTAGAATGTAATATATGCAAATCTCTAATAATATATTTATCTATTGTTAATAGAGTTTCTGTTATTTGAAAATGAAAGGCACAATAATTACCAATAGTGTTGCAAATGTCTCCTTTCTCCTTCGTGTCGAATCTCCATAGTTCTGACGGTATATCCGTTTCTCGTATCGATATAATTAACGATAACTGTGAAAGATCCAGCTTGTAAGCGATTATTTATGTCAAAGGGAAAATACGCTTCGCACTTTGGTTTGGACACTTCGTACAATCTAGTTATCATGACGATTACAGGAACTTTTTCTGCCCAGATCATTTTCCAGAAGTCTTCTATCGTGTTAGCTAATGGTCCCTGTGTCGCGATGTATCTAGCATTTTCGCCATCGTATCCCTGTAAATTTTGTTTTCTATTAATAGTTTTTAATTCGTGCAATTTGTGATGATAAAAAGTGCTTACGTATCATATCAAACAAGTTTTCTCAGGCATTATTTCATACTGTTTAACACAAAATTATTATTTACATACCCGGATGTAGTTAGCGTTTATGTAACCGGCGAGCAGATCGTCGGAGGAACCTGGTAGAATCACTCTCGTTTGTAGATTGGGCAAAACAGAGCTGTATCGATTCTTCACTCCTGAGCCACAAATATCCACCTTTTCCGGTAGATTTAGTGGCACCTCCCAAAATTCTTTGTGTAATGTTCCCGTACTTTCGATAACTTTTTTCAATTGTGCCCTCGATAATACATTTCCTGCACTTAGCAAAAACTCTTCCGTTGTACATTCTCGGGTAGGAGTAACCATATGTGGCGGACTTTCAGGAGCTGGTGCCAGTTCTATGGTTAAACTGGTGCTCGAACCACGTCTTTCCAACAATCCTTTTGCTTTCATACGTATCGCTTCCGGTTTACGTTCGGGCGTTGCCAGAGACTTTTAACATAATATGAAGGTTATTTTCAATACGATCATTTAATATTTGTGTGAGAATTACGTTGATAGCAGGTAGATTCTCTTACCTCGGGTAAAGAGGTCTGTGGAATTGGTCGTACCGGGTACTTGGGTGCAGATTGCTTCGCGACTGCTTCGTGAACCCATTTAGCTTCCACGGATTCTTTTGCATCTTTAGTTGATTTGTCTGGCTTACAAGTGGCACCTTCCTCGACCAGACCGTGCCGATCGCCATTTTCGTTATCTTTTTCACGCGACATTTGTTTTCGCAGCCATAACAAGATCTGTTGGAAAGTTATCGTTATTATTATACAATCCTAATATAACAGTATCAGTCTTCAATGATTTAATTCAATGGTAAAACCAATTGATTTTTACATATCTATAAAGCTTTTGTCATTTGTTTTTAAAAAGAAGATGTGAGGACTTACTAGGAATGTAAAAAGAATAGTGCCAGCGATTGCACAAAGCGCTACAAAGTAAGGCAAATGCCAATCTAGCCATGATAAAGTCGTCCTGGAATGTACTTCCTTGTCTGTCTGACTATTGAGTTGGGCCACTTGGAGATCCATTCCAGCATCATCCAGTCCTGTCACGGACTGCCGGATTCTGTATTAAAAATACTTTGAGATAAAGAGTAAATCTTAATATTTTGTGAAACAAAATACCGGAATACGATTACGGCTGGTATTGTGAATCTTTACACGACACATAAGCATTACCTGTGATGGGATCTCGTAGGCATTCCCTTCGTAGAGGGCAATAAGGAGATTGGCACTAGTGTATCCTTACGCCACTTTTGTTCAGTGATTAGATAAAATTTTTCCAGAGGATTTATATTATCGCTATTGTTGATTGTTGCATCATAATAATTAACATCATTTGCATGATGATGAGTCAAGGAAACACTTGTACCATCTATAATAAAAATAATAATAAAATTGCACACACACAGACTATAACATAACTAGAAGCTTTACGATATTGTGAAGCATTGTAAATATTGTACAAAAATTTCTTTCCCCGTGTGTAATTAAATCTTATCATTTTCTCTAACATTTTGTTTAACAAAAATTTAACGTATAACTTTAACCGTAATAAATATAACGCAATTTCAACGAATAGATAACGTTAAACGGAAGAGGGAACTTATTTTACATTATGAACAAGAAGTAAAAATAATTCGTTATTTCTAATGAACGATAAAAAGAGAATTGCAAAAGCAAAAAAGGGGAAAAAATAAAAAATGGGATAGCGACGTAAAAAAATTGTCCATTTGCCATTTGTCAGCCATGAATTGCAATATGCGTACATACATAAACGATACGCACACACGCACGTACACAGTCAACTCGCGTCATACACTATCCCGAAGTCGGAGCATCGTGAATAAATCACATCCTGTTTTCTCATTGATGTAATAATAGCAAGCGGATATATGTACGGTATTTGCTAGCGAATGAGCGTACGAGCGAGCGGAAGAGAAGGATTGCTTTTCACGCTGATGTTTGATCGATACCTTTCGTCAGCAGCACATACAACAATATATCAAGCGGCGTATTGACGTGTGATTTACGGGCACGATGCTCCGAGAATGGGGGTTGTGTGTACGGCGATACGGCCATATTGCCGCGGATTCGAAGCCAGGCAAACTCCTTCGTCGGAACTAGCCGAGAGACGCTCCGTTGCATATGTCTTGACCTGGAGCTTTGGTTCTATTCATAGTGTTTCACGTTCGTTTCGCATTCCTCTCGTTCTCTCGCATAGTACGTTGGGAGTAAGCGCCGGCCAATCGGGACGACGGCGGTCTCGTCGGCCCATTGGCGCCGGCCAACCGCGGTGTGAATGTAAACGCTTGTACCGTGTTATTCACATAGGTGGGAGTTGGCGTGAATGAAAGCGGAGCACGTGCGATTAATGACGGTGAGGTTGCGTTCGGGATTCGTCGGGAATGGGTTTTATTCGATATGTATGTAGCGGACGTTGCTTCTTTTTCAAATAACTTATTTGGAGAAGCAAAATCCTTTACGTGCAATCACTAGTACGGCGGAAAGAAACCAGAAGCGGAACTGAATTATCCCATAAATTGTCTCATCGCATTAAATGAAGTCCTTTCCCAACTTGTCGCAATACCGTGGCTGATTCATTCAATCTCTTTACACGAATATCCAATTGGTTGCTCTCAAAAAGATGTTTTAAATTAAGATTGCCTTTCTGAAAGCTCTCGGTCGCACTCGATAAATAATTAAAATTTTAGAATTTTAGAATTTTAGATACTTATTACTTCAAAAATTGCAAACTTCTTCCTAACATCGCTATATGTATATTTTCCCTTATTTTTGGCTAACTAAAATTTGTTAACTAAAGTTTTCAAGTATTCGCGCTAATTTCTCCGTTGATCTGAATGATAGATAAACACAGCCACGAATATCTTCCTAAACATCTTACGTACGTATACTTCTCAAGAATATAGCGATGATTCACGAAACCGGATGTTCATATTTGCCGTTTACACTCAAGCATATCACATCCCACTAAGAAATCCGCATCATTTGTGTTTTATACCTTTTTTTTTTGTATACTTTTTTAACCTCTTTAGTTCGATTTAATCAGTAGTACGATAAAATCTTATAGATAATAACTTCATTCACAATTTCCAATTTCATATTGTATCGATTCTTTTTTTAGTAAATGACAAATCTTGATACTTTTTACTTACTGTCTATAGTACGATAATGGCAAGCGGCAATCATTGTAGTAGCTAAAAATCAATAAGCCCACCGGTACTGAATGTTCGACTTCGCGTGTCTCGATTTCACACTAATGTAAATAAATTACTCTGTCGTTTCAAGATTGAGAAACATGTTTTAAGACTTATCGAAAAATTAGAAGTGATATATCACTGGCTATTGAGAAAAATCTCTTCTTCAAACTCACGCATGATTTATATTGTGATTTATATTGTAAGAAATAAGAAGAAAAATTTTCTAAACACGAAAATTGAGAAAATCTACTGTACAGTATCGTATTCTTAAATGAAAAAGCTTGAACGAATGTTAGAGCAGCTCTCGCGCTGCTAACTGAATTGATCCCCATTCATCCTTCCACAGGAAGCTTACGAGTTTTCGCTAGAGCGCACGCACCCGGGGATACACGCACTTGCGTAAAATTACGTTACAATGATTGATCGAAGAAAGAAATTCAAATATCATATGTGGATAGTTATAATTTGATTGTTTTTTTTTTTGTAAATTTCTTTAACGATTAAGTAATAAAAATTTTTGGAAATTAAAAACAAATTTTGCATCGATAAATACCGATAAGATTAATATTTAGCGAATAATCATAAAAGATATAAATAAGATCTTGGTAAAAAGTAGTGTCTTTTCATTGAGAAAAATAATTTTGCTATGAACGCAAAGGCATTGCAAAATTTAATTTATCAAATTTGTTTGCTACAAACAAACAAATTTGCATATTTGATCAAGATTTTGCATTTGTTGCAAACAATTTGCTATCTCTATATTCGCAAATGGAATTTGCCGTTACGACATAGGATTAGCATTTATCAAATTTTTTCTTTCCGTGTTTACTTTGATAAACGGCTCTTTCTTTATCTCTCTCTCTCTCTCTCTCTCTCTCTCTCTCTCTCTCTCTGCTCTACTTTTTTCTTGTTCCTCATTATTATTGCCGTTTTACTTTTTACTATTTTGTATATTTTTATCTTTTCTTTTTTTATTATACTTTATTATTCATTAATGTTCTTCATTACAGGACTTGTTCTAGAAATAAATGCTTTTATCTATTTATCTTTCTATTTCTATAAATGTTTTATAGTGAATTATTTATTATGAGAAGAATACACGCGAGAAGAATACCATTGAATCGATTCTTAATTTTTGAAGTTTGTAACATTTTGTCGTAACTTATATAATATAAGAATTAAATTATTTAATTCATTGTATGTACAGTCGTAAAATAGAACAGTGCCTCGTAAAGTCGCAACATGTATTACTATTAGACATAAGTCTATTGATTCAAAAACTATCTATGCTTATAAACATGTATTCAATTTATTTGTAAACTATCGAATACATTTCGCAGTAGCATAATTGATAAATTACTCGATCCATTAAGCCTTGTCATCTAATTTATATTAAGATATAAACATATAACGAAATTTAGTTAGTTTCTTTTGACAATAGAATTTAATCGTTTAATTTTTGCAAGAAAGAGCCGATAATATTATTTTTTTCCAAAGAGCTGATAATCATATTATTTTCAACGCAGTGCATAATAATGATATTGCACTTCTACTGATAACACATTGAGATGATAACGTTGAAACACACATACATTCGCATTTGCATTGATCATATACCTTGCCGAGGCGAGTGAGAAGAAGGTCCTTCTCTTCCTTTCGAGATGGTCTGTTACGTCTCGTTAAGACGTTATCGCGATAAACAGCATCACCCTGCGCACATTGACATCGTGGCAGACGATAAGATACGATACGTAGCTCCGCAGATAAATTTCGCGACTGCGACGGATCGGACTCTCGTCGAACGCATCTGAATGGCGTCTGAACAGATTGCAAAATGACGGCCAACTGCATTCACCTCTTTCGCGCTGACCGCGAAGGGGTAGCGAGGGGATGGAGTGCAGCAGACGCGCGCATTCGTGACACGGATACGATTCACTGAGCCACCCTTCCCTCTGTAACGGTACGTGGCCTCGCCCCTTGTATGTATGTACGTACCATCGCTGCATCCAACGATACCCTTCATGAACGGCGGTGATACGATTCATCGGGAAAAATTTTAGCACTAAATCACTGCCCTACCGAATTTTCTTCGAGATCGTTAAAACTATTGAATTGTGGCAATATTGATTTAATCTCGTTTACTTGAGATGTTTATAATTTAAAGTTTCACAGTGGAAGTTTATATAAATTTATTTCAATTGAAATCCGTATTTATCACGAAATTTAACTCTGGAAATTGAATAAAATGCCTCACACACATTCACAAATTCAGCATTGATTCGCCTTCCCTTTCTATGTTTCCAACTCGTTCAATCGTCTCAATCCTCGTTCAACGAGAAGTAGTATTTTCGTAACAATAATCGCTCTATATTGAAATAATTGTAATCAGAGATATTAATTTGTGTTTTTATTATTACGTATATTAATTTTCTGTTTTAGCTTAAATGAGTGGTATTTATTTTTTATTAGCTTAAATGAGTGGCACTTAATCTTTTCTCCGCTTATAATATTTCCTCTATTTATGATATTTATTACTCCTTTCTACATTTTCGTTATGCATCTCTATTTTTTTTGAAACGTCCACCGAAACGCAATCGCAAGAGAAGAGGAAGCAAAAAGAGAACGATAGAGGGTGGCAAGGTTAAGTAAGAGCAAAGAGGAGGGAGCGTTGAATGAGAACTTCTAGGTCGTTGAGAGGGTACGGAGAGAGGGAGACAAATCGGCCTTCGTAACTCGGAAGGGTGAAGAAAAGAGACAGAATGTAGGCTAGTCTCGTTGGCGAACAGCGTCCCCAATCGATACTTACGCAGCAAACTTCTACGCCCTCTCGTTCTGTTAATCTTTCATTTTATTACATTTTATTATAGTTAACTAACAAATACGTAATTTCACAAATGAACCAACGACAGAGATAGAGAAAGAAAGAATCAAAATGCATTCACAATTTCTTATTTACATTTTTTGTTACAATTAATGAAAATAATTAGAATTGAATACGTATTCCTAACTATTTATGTTAGATAATTTGTAAATATGATAATGTCATTAATCTAGCACACGTGCATGACACAGATTTAACAATAATTATGTGCAGAATGTATTCGAAGTTGTTACTTTCCTAATAAGAAACATTTAAACATATTGATGAAATTATACGATGTCAATTTTCAATTTATCTTTATTTATACTTTTCATTTTTTTATATTTTTATTAATGACATTATCACAATATCGATGTTTTTATTTTTGCAACATGGTAATAGTCATTCGTAACTGCTTATTTAATCAAATCCAATGATTGCATATGAGAGAGCTTAGTCTTAGTAATAGTCTTGAAGATCTATTTCTCACAAAAATTACATTTTATGTAGTAATATCATTTAGTATATATAATTTTTACTATATATGTAAAATTTGTTGAGAGAAAAATAAAATATCGAACAAAGACGCGAAAGGTGTAATTTTCCAAGTGTTGCTTGTCGAAGCCTTTTACTTCGTTGTGCTGAAGAATAGATGTTTTTTTACATCTCAAGATGTTAAAAAATCAAGTGTTAAAAGATCGTAGACAGCTACGTCATATTCGGTAGCCGAGCTATAAAAAAACAACATTTTTCGATATACGTTTCATTTAAGCAAATAATCAATGATTTACAAAGAAAAACTTGAAACATAATAACAGTTGTAATGGTGAGATAAGTGAAAAGAAAACTTTGTCTACGAGTCTCAATTTACATATCTAATTTGTATTTTTTAACATTAACGGGACATTATGCTAGATTTGTTCTTTCATTATATATATGTATATTAATGATTTCTAATTAATATATCTCTACAATTTTTTTTGCTATAAATGAAATGTCTTCTCACGCATTATTTTTTAACAACAGATTCATTGATAATCAATTGTCTCTCAGCGAAAATATCGGGATAAATTATTATTTATTAGATTTTTCCATTGATACTATTTTTGTAATAGAATCTAAAATTAAAATTTTTTATTAAAGATGTTTTGACTGTACAATATCAGCTTAAAGTACTAGCCACAAAATCAGCTAAAAACCAATATCAGCCAACAATTTTTTGTTATAAATATCCGAAATAAAAAATAACTAATAAAAAATAGTAAAACTAATAAAACTAATAAAAAAGTAACAAATAATTTAAACGAAATAATTAAACAAAATAAGTTGATAATGGCTTCATGTAGCCATTGATGATATTTTGCTGCAATTTTGGGTAAATATAGCTTTTGAACGAGTAAGCAGATTTAAATAAACTTTTGCATGAATTAATATATGTAATAAATTTAATTTAATTTGTAATGCTAAGATTTTATCAAATTTGCAAAAAATTACAAAATTTTGTATAAAAATTAAGACTAATAAGAAAATTAAATAATGTATAAACCAATAAAAAAAGTGCTTAAATTTTGCACAGGTATTTAAACGTAATAATAGAACAAACTGAAATTTTTGATAATACTTTGATATATGACACATACATCCTTAAAATAGACTTTGCTTAATGTAAATGGACTGAAAAGAAACGAAATGAAATTTATTTAGTTAATTGGTTGTTGAAAGGTTTAGTTTTTGAGAAAGCAAATATAGTTTCGGTTATAATTTGAAGATTATTTATATTTTCATATTTTGCTATGAAAAAATCAAAAAGGTCTGATATTCTGTTTGGGGATATCCTGTATTCATAATTTTTTTTTTATTTTTTTTTTTTTAAGAAATTAGAAGTTCTCATGAGATTACGTCTATACAATAGCAGTTCCTTTCGTTATCGCGATGAGATTCTCTCGTGTGGCGTAACGAAGAGAAACATGAAGCGAGTATTCACATCCTTTTGCTGGATAAAGAGAAACGTCAAAGCTGCGCATACGCAATGCGAATATACCCGTGCAACCTTCAATGGGCTGCCTACCCATTCGCATCCGCTCGCAGGGATTGAGCTCTTCCATTGAGCAACTTGGCTGCTTCCGCTTTCCGTTCATGCGTCTGTCTCCTCTTTCTTTTTTCCTTTTCTCTTTTCCGTTCCACGTTTTTTCGATCGTTTTCCACTCTTAGATACGAGTCGATACAGGTTCCGGCGACCCAATTCGATAAATGATTATTGCACAAAGAGTCTAGAATTCGATATCCATATCGCAAATTGCTATTAATGTGCTTATCGGGGGAGATATTGATCGAGTCCCGGTTTTTCAATGAACTGTACTGCCGTTGCTGGTGGCAGTACAAGAGACAAGGCGATACGCGACCCAGAGCCGACCACGGCGACCTACTTTGAGGCTGTGACGTTGAACGGTCCATTCACCTTGCAGCTCGTTCAGAAATCAAAGCACGTGCCATCATTGGCACTTATGAATACACGACGGGACAATTTCTACGAAAAACATATTAAATATGTACGTACCATGAAATATCCAATGTTAATTGTATCTATTCGCGTTATTTTATCACTCGACATTCGAGACAGAATAAGATAAAAATAAGTCACAAATGTTTACGAGTACTTCAGGTTTATTAAATTATTCTGCTCATACTGCTTTGTTTAAATGTCACTCCGTGGGTCGCTAAAGCTTTGATCGTTTCTCTTATATCGTTAGGAAAACGCGACGGAGTGATGAATTAGATTTTTGCCTCTTGAATGATTTTTATCTGGAAAATACACTAAAAGAGCGAAATTTTTTAACACGCTGATATTATATATCGATGTTATATATTTCTTATTTTATAACTGAAGATTCCGGAATAACTTTATTTTAAGAGCGATGACGTTAATAAGATTATAATCATAGATTTATTACGTTTAATACTAAATTAAATTATCGGGATATTTATAATTACTCTTTTTATATTATAATCGACATTTTCTGTTAATAGTTAGCTTATATAGCATTGTAGTTTATAAAAAACTCACATGTATTATGTAATTCAGAGCGTATTTTTTGGAGTGAAGTATTTCTTTTTGTGAAAAGATCAGCATAGGGGGGAGGGTAGCTTGTCCTAGTAACCTAGTTTATTCCTGGGGGTTGAATAAACGGAGTTGAGATGACGTCATTCTCGACCCCATTTCCGGTTTCCCGGTGCAACCAGTTATTCAGCTCTGTGTCCCGTTGACCCGAAATTCCTCATGAATTGAAGGACGTTCGTTCATAACGAGTCGATCTGCCGTGCATGAATGAATTTTCCGCTTCAGTATCATTATTTTCTCGTGGTGAGAAAAAAACTTACGCTTAAAGTGATGACTAATTGAAACGCGCATTCCACATATAAGTAACGCGATATCTATTATAATGGAAATTTATACAATTATCTTCATTGTACATATGTTATTATATTCTTTATAACTATTACGCGCACCTAAAAGAACTTTGAACACACTCTCTAAAAATTCCAAATCCCTGATCAAGATAATATAATTTGATAAATCATTAGCTTCTCCAAACATGTATCTATCTCGCGATATTAAAATCAAGGATTAAAATTTTTTAAAGACTTTTCACATATCTTCTATAGACTACGCTTTTTTCATTTTTTTTGTTTTAATAGTAGATCGGATCTAAGTATAGGATTTAATATTGTGGCATCTTATTTTGCTAATACTCTATACACACACACACACACACACACACACAAGCCGATATTATTACAATCATTTTTACTCCTACGTTTATGTATTTCTGCAATGTTGCACTGCGATTTGTAAGATTGCAACGTTGCTATAAATTATTATAAATAATTTTATTTGCGCTTGAGCAATTTTATTCTCGCTCTAATCTACTTATAATTGCCCTGACCTTTTCATGACATCGAGCCCACAATTGCTATCTCTATATACATACACGTCTTACCAGTCTTGCGTAATCACTATATATTGATAAGATATTAAGTCTACTCTACAACAGCCGCATAGTTGTAAGTGATTGTAATTATAAGAATTAACCGGTC